AGAGCGGTTGGATTCCCTGCATCTTCATCCTATCCTCGTAAGAAAGTCCTGTCGAGAACTTTAAATATGTCTGTCTTTTTTTCTCCAAAGAGCAAAAAGACTGTGAATATAGATGCTAGTAAAGCTTCTCAAGTGTTGTTATTTTCAGATCTTTATATATGGCTTTCTAAACGCACTAATGTAAAAATTGTGGATGTTATACATGTGTACTTAAAAGATTTGAAAATAACAACACTTGAAGCTTTATTAGCGTCTATATTCACAGTCTCTTTGCTCTCTGGTTACATTTACACTGGCTGTGATTCTTCTTTCTGTTTTCTCAGCAGCCTTTGGGCATCTGTTTGATGAGGCATTGTCCTTCTGGGCCCGGGCTCCTCAAGGCAAGCAGTGAGGGACAGCTGTTCCCTCTGCAAGCGTGCTTTCGGAGGCTGGTCACGGGACTAAACAGATCCTCAGTCTTATCCAGCAAAAATTCGCCTTTCCTCTTTCCAATTGGCACAGAATGCGGTGTAGTGGTTAAGAGCAGCTGACTTTAATCTGGGAGAACCGGGTTTGATTTTTCACTCCTCATTGTGCAGCCAGCTGGGTGACCTTGCGTCAGTCACAGTTCTCTCAGAGCTATCCTTGAAAAGAGTAGTTTCTCTCAGAGCTCTCTCCGCCTCACTTACCTCACAGGGTGTTTGTTGTGGGGAGAGGAAGGGAAAGGAGATTGTAAGCCGCTCTGAGACTCTGAGTGAAGGGCGGGGTATAAATCCAGTCTTCTCCTCTGCCTCCTCTTCTTCCTCTTCCGCCCCCTCCTCCTCCTCTTCTTCCTCTTCTTTTGTGTCCAGAATGCTGACCAGAGTGGGTTGTGCGGACTGTATCTCGCCAGTCTTCTTCCGCCTACACTGGCTCCCAGTTTGCTTCCAGGCCCGTTTCAAAGTGCTCGTGCTGACCTTTAAAACAGGGGTCTCCAGCCTTTTTGAGCCTGTGGGGTACCTTTGGAATTCTTACACAGTGTGATGAGCGCAGCCCCAAAATGGCTGCTGCAGAAGGAACAGTTGGCCCCAAAATGGCTGCCACAGAAGGCAGAGTCAGCCACCAAGTGGCTGCCACAGAAGAGAGAATCAGCCCTAAAATGGCTGCTGCAGAAGGCAGAGTCAGCCACAAAATGGCTGCCGCAGAAGGCAGAGTCGGCCACAAAATGGCTGCCGCTAGGGTTGCCAAGTGGCACTCACCTCCTCCGCGGGGGATTCCTGGGTGGCTCCCGGTGCGCGTGCGCCGCATGCACGTCACTAGGAAGTGACGTTATGACGCCGGGCACGACCATTCAAGGGAAAACCATAGAGCTTCGGGAGGTGGTGGATGCTCCTTCGCTGGATGTTTTCAAGCAGAGGCTGGACGACCATCCTTCGGGTATGTTGCAGGGCTGTCTTTCGACTACGCTCCTGCAGAGTGCAGGGGGTTGGACTAGATGACCTGCAAGGTCCCGTCCAACGCTAACATTTTATGATTGTGACTGACCCAAGGTCACCCAGCTGGCTGCAAGTGGAGAGGTGGGGAATCAAACCCAGTTCTCCCAGATTAGAGTCCGCGCTCCTAACCACTACGCCAAACTGGCACCTTCAGTCCAGGTTGGGGGTCCCTTCTCTTCTCTCCCTTCTGCTCTGGGAATCAGAGAGCGTCTGGGTGTCTCTTCACAGGGAAAGGCCGGCGTGGAGAGGCAGCTCGGCTTCCTCAAACAGCTCGCGGCGGTGATTCCAGCACGGCAAAGTATCGGGATCTCCGACTCCGGATCTTTCTCCAGCACATTTTCAAGGTAAAGGGGCTTCTTTCGACACAAATGAGGACGTCGCCGGGACCTTCTGGGTCTAGTGTGTCTGCATTACGTGCCGTCAAGTCACTTCCAACTTAGGCCAACCCTGTGAATTTATATCCTCCAAAACATCCTCTTCTTAACAGCCTTGCTCACGTCTTGCAAACGGCTTCCTTGACGGTGTCCATCCATCTCCTGTTGGGTCTTCCTGTTTCCCTGCTGCCTTCAACTTGAACACACAAAGCTGCCTTCTACTGAATCAGACCTTCTTAGTCCATCAGAATCAGCATTGTCTACTCAGACTGGCAGCAGCACTCAGGCAGAGGTGTTTCTTATCACCTCCTGCCTGATCCTTATAGCTCGAGATGCCGGGGATTGAACCTGGGACCTTCTGCAGGCCAAGCAGAGGCTCTGCCACTGAGGCAGGGTCTCAGGTCAAGGTCTTTCTCATCCCCTCCTGCCTGATCCTTATAGCTCGAGATGCCGGGGATTGATCCTGGGACCTTCTGCAGGCCAAGCAGAGGCTCTGCCACTGAGGCAGGGTCTCAGGTCAAGGTCTTTCTCATCCCCTCCTGCCTGATCCTTATAGCTCGAGATGCCGGGGATTGATCCTGGGACCTTCTGCAGGCCAAGCAGAGGCTCTGCCACTGAGCCAGGGTCTCAGGTCACGGTCTTCCCCATCACCTGCCTGATCCTTTTAACTGGAGATGCCGGGGATTGAACCTGGGACCTTCTGCAGGCCAAGCAGAGGCTCTGCCACTGAGCCAGGGTCTCAGGTCAAGGCCTTTCTCATCACTTCCTGCCTGGTCCCTTTAGCTGGAGATGCCAGGGATTGAACCTGGGACCGTATGCAGGCCAAGCAGAGGCTCTAAGCCAGGGGCTCAGGTGAAAGTCTTTCTCATCACCTACTGCCTGGTCCTTTTAGCTGGAGAGCCCGAGGATTGTACGTGGGACCTTCTGCATGCTCTTCCACTGATCCAGGGTCTCAGGTCAGGGTCTTTCTCATCACCTCCTGCCTGGTCCTTTTCACTGGAGATGCCGGGGATTGATCCTGGGACCTCCTGCATGCCAAGCAGAGGCTCTGCCATTGAGCCAGGGTCTCAGGTCAGGGTCTTTCCCATCACCTCCTGCCTGGTCCTTTTCACTGGAGATGCCGGGGATTCAACCTGGGACCTTCCTAGTGGCAGCAGAAACTACCAAGTTCATATACACAAAGTGTGAATTAAAAAGTAAAACAATTTCCCCCATAAGCTAGCATCTTTCCCCCATAAGCTAGCACGTCACAGAGGGTGATTTAAAGGAAACACAGCCCCCCCCCATAGGAAGGACGCCACACAGTTCTTGTCAGAACTATGGCCGGCCCAAGGTCACTCTGGCAGCCGCATGTGGAGGAGTGGGGAATCAAAACCGGCTCTCCCAGATTAGAGTCCGCGCTCCTAACCAGTATGCTAAACTGGCTCTCAAAAAGCCCCACTACACCAGCAGGGGTCAAGAGGTGCAGGAGCTCATTAGCATAAGTTATTTGCAAATGCCACACCCCTTGACATCACCGGAAGTGTGTCAGAAGGCAACACCCACCGCTCAGGCTCCACTGGACTGTTTTGGATTCCTAGCTATTGGGGGGGGGGGGGGGGAACGGGGACGCTTTGT